CAATTGAATTATCACCATATAAAAAGTATGCATTAGGGCTTGTTGAATTTCTTTCATATAATTCGATTCCTAATGTAGATATTGGTAATAATAAATTTTATGTAGGTGATGAGCTTTATTTTATGACAACCGGAAGTTGCGATATAAGTGACATTAATAGAGATTTACAAAAAATTTTAAAAAGTCGAGGTTGTAATATTAGTATTGAACCTAATAATAATACTTTAAAATGTATTATTTATTGCGATGAAGAAATTAATTTTGAACCTAAAGACTCAATTGGTCGTTTATTAGGATTTTCTCATCGAAAATTAGCAGCTAAAGATTACCACGAATCAGATCAACCAGTTTCTATTATTAAAGTAAATTCGTTAAGAGTAGAATGTAATATAACTACAGGAGCATATATAAATGGTGAACAAGTACACACAATTCATCAATTTTTTCCTATTGTTCCACCAGGATATAAAATCGTGGAAGTACCAAATCACGTCATTTACTTGCCAGTCTCGGTCAAGACAATAGATTATATTCAATTGCGAATAGTCGATCAAGATGGAAATTTAGTTAATTTTCGAGAAGAAACTATAACTATCAGATAACACATTAAGGTCGTATAATAATAATAATGGGAATTATTTTTAAAATTCGAAATAAGGTTGAATTTAGTTATAAAACTGTAACACAATGTCAAAAAAATCAGTCGACGACAAATCTTCAAAAGATTAACACCTCAAAATCTTCAGTTTCTGAAAAATCTAGGTCTAAAAGTTGTGAAAAGAAAAAGTGGAAACGATTTACAGTATTTTGTACTTGTATTTGTGCATTTGTTTTTCGAAAAGTTATAGTTTGCTATGGAAGAGGAAATTTTAAATATTGAAAGACCAATAATTTTTGATGAATCTATTTCGCAATATGAAGTTCATGCGCAGCAACCATATGCTTCATCGAAGTACAATAATAGTGATGAAATACGAATTGCTGTTCAAAATCAGGACCACTGCCTACTGCCAAGTAAAAGTTGAATTCATATAAGTGGAAGACTTGTAAAAGCCGATGGAACTCTTGTAGCAAACACGTCACTAATTTCTAATGGCATCTGTCTCTTATTCGAAGAAGCAAAATACGAGCTTAATGGTATAGAAATTGACAAAAATAAAAATGTTGGTCTTACAAGTTTAATAAAAAATTATGTTTCTTTTAATGCAAGTCAGAGTAAATTTTTAGAAAATGTTAGCTGGTTAGAATTTACTGGTAAACCGACATTGACAAATGCACAAGGTTATTTTGATTTTTGTGTGCCATTAAATATGCTTTTTGGTTTTGCTGAAGATTATCAAAAAGTTATTGTCAACGCTACACATGAGCTTATTTTTACAAGGTCAAGAGCCGATACAAATGCAGTATTACAAACAGCACCTCTTGAAGAATTTAGAATTACAATTGAAAAAATTGAATGGTCATTACCTTATGTTAAACTGTCAGATGCTTGAAAATTTAAGTTATTAAAATATATAGAAAAGAATCCATCTATTCCAATTAGTTTTCGAACTTGGGAATTATACGAATATCCTCTCTTACCATTAACTCAAAAACACATCTGGAGTGTGAAAACTTCAACACAATTGGAAAAACCTAGATTTATTATATTAGGCTTTCAAAGAAACAAAAAAATAATATAGCTGTAAACTCGAGTTATTTTGATCATTGTAATATTACTGATGTAAAATTATTTTTAAATTCACAAGGTTTTTCATATGGTAATATGAATCTGAATTTTAATAGAAATCAATATTCTACACTGTACGAAATGTATACTAATTTTCAAACTGTTTACTATGGTAAAGAATCTCAACCTTTTTTGACAAAAAAAGAGTTTTTGGAATATGCCCCCTTAATAGTAATTGATTGTTCAAAACAAAATGAATCACTTAAAAGTGGCCCCGTGGATATTCGTTTGGAATTTGAGTCAAGAGAAAATTTTCTACTAAATACTTCCGCTTATTGTTTAATATTACATGACCGCATCATTGAATATAAACCCTTAAGTAATATTGTAAGAAAAATTGTATAAATTTAAGAACTATATTTCATTAAAATAATTTTTTTTAAAGAAGCGTTGTTAAAACAGAATTAAAGAATAAAGTTCAGTTCAGTGTCTGTTACATAATAATCAACATAACAAGTGAAAGAGATAAGCTAATAATCTTGTTACTTATACGTATTACTTCACGCAGCCTTGCTAGGAATTTGTCGTAGGTTAGTATTCTGTATACACATGTATTTTATACATTTGTGACTGTCCACGAGAAAACACGGCTTAGCTCCCAAACGTGAATTTCACAGGGCGAGCGATTGAAGTACTACGATTGAAGTTAACTACGCTTGACATACACATCTTTAAAACGATATATTGTCGAAAGTAATTGATATTTTTAACTTTTGACTTTTGCATTTTAAAAAGCAACATAAAATCTGTCGATTACCTTAAAAAACTCAAATTGATTTTTTGGACCTAGGCCGTGTTTTCTCGTGGACAGTCACATATATATAGAGTTAAGTTTCTGTCACTGCGCTGAAAAAAAGGTTTGATTTTACATTGCTAAAATGTTATACATTAAGTTACTTTTTAAATCCAAATTGTACATAAAACAGAAAAAGTAGAATAAATATTTTTATCTGTATATATTTTGCATTTCTATTTATAATTTATTTTAACCTGTAATTTTATCATACATTTTTAAATAAATTATGTAATTGTATATAAATAATAATTGGGTAATAATATTAATAATAATTTTAAATCAATAAACTTTTAATTTAATGGAATTTTAGAATAAACATTTGGTTTAAATTATCTTTCAACTTATTTTTCATATTTTTTCTAAATTTAAAATAAAGTACAATTCACGATTAATTTTTTTACAAGTTTAAGTTTCTTACCTTAAAAATAAGTTAAAAACTTCAAACTAAAGTTATTATTTTTTTTTATAATTAATTTTTTTCTTTTGAAAATTAGGAAGGGTTAAAGTTAAAAGTTACTGAAAAGTGAAATTAATGAAATAATAATGGTAAATATTCTAAAACTTATTTTACACTTTATGATTATTCTCTTTTTAAATTCTCAAAAATATTTTTTTACTAACAAGGACAAATTAAATATACAAATAATAAGTGAATGATGAAACGTATTTATTTTCACAGTTTTTTTTAATTTTATAAAATAATTATAACTATAATTGTGTGTGTGTTTTTATTCTATTATAAATTTATATCATAAAGATCAAACAAATTAAAAGATTAAAATTTAAAGATAAAGATTAATGTTACGGCCGAACTCCGTAACTTTTTATATTGTTAATACCTTTTTTAATTATATTTAAACTAAAATTACATGCAACAATTACACGCAACATGAGATTTTGTTAAACATCACAAAAACATTTACACAAAATACAACCATTTGTAATTTCACAAAAGGTACATTCTTCTTTTTGAATATTTAAATCTAAAGTATTTTAATCGGATAAAAATCTAATTTTATATAAATAATAGATTTAATGGAATTTAACATTCCTTTAAGTTTCACAATTTGAAGTTAAAAACCTAAGAATAAAACACGGTATTTCTTAATAAATTCCTTTTCTTGGACAAACAGTTTATTGACCCTTTTGAGGAATAGTTAGAAAATATGAAAAGTAAATTGCTCAATATAAGGAGTGGTGCATCTAAGTCACTGAACTCGGATCGCGCCACTGCCTAAATCTGCAAGCTTGCAGAATTGGCTTGGCAACAGTCAAGTGCAATAAACTTCACATACGATTTCCCCACTAAATCGTCTTTCAATAAAATTGATTGACACTGGGAAATCTGGGCAGTTTAAGCCAGGCCGTTGTAGCCGGCAGTTAGCCCGGGCAGTTTAGGCCCGCAGTTTAGTCCAGGTCGTAGTCACCTGTAGTTATAGCCGGCAGTTTTGGGCCAGGCATTTTCGAAGTCCGGCAAGTTAGCCGTGTTCAAAGTTGAAATATTTCTTAGAAGTTTTAAAGAGTTAAATTAAGAAAAGTTCGTTCAAGAAGAAGTGAATTTATTTGAGAAAAATACAATTAAATCGAAGTAAAAAGGGTTGAATTGAATACATATGTTTGAATAAAATAAAATAATTGAAGTGCATAATTGAAAGAATTGATGAAGTAAAAAAACATAAAATATTGAAATAAAGTGAAAGAAAATAAATAAAGAGAATTTATTAAATAAATATTGAGAATACAGAATTGAAGAAAATAATAAAATAAAAGAGTAAAGAATAAATATAAAGAAGTTGTGATTCATACAAAAGAATAAAATAATTTAAAGTAAAGTAAAAAAATCTAGAGTCAGCAGAAAGATAAACATAATTCTAATAAATATAAAGGATTTGTTTTAATTCCAATATATGTAAAGACAACCTTTCTTTACGAGGTTTAAGTCTCAGGTTTAGTGTATTCCTAAAGGAATATTAAAGTTCTCAGTGAAAATATCAATCTAGTGACCGTAGATTTGGTATTTCCCCAATTTTCTGGAATAACCGTGTCGAGACAGACAGAAAGATAAAACATTCGTCATTGGATTCACATTTCAGGGAAAGAATTTCTAAGTATTGAGTAAAGCATCTTGTATTAAATTACATAGTCTTACACCACATAACACACATACATATTTCTATTTTTTCTACACACATAAAAGTTAGCGAATTTGTAATAGGGACTTTTTGTGGGTAAAATACATATTATCATTGTTCTTTAACTTAATTCTGTTTTTAATTTCAATTATCCTATCTTCTCCGAATTCAATGAGTAGGTTTCTCACCCCTTGGTTGAATCAATAACCAAGAAGAGAGAGAATCTACTACCTATACGATTTTCGTCCGAAGGACATGTTAGTTGAAGTTTTTAAAAATTAATATTTATAAATTAAATAAATTTCTAAAATACTACTTTAACAATTAAAAAGAATAAGGCAACTAAACATTCATTTTAGTTATTTTTCTTAACAATTATAATTTTTTTCATTTTATTTCTTTATCGGCATTTATTCCTCGCTTATTCCTTCATCAGTATCTATATCATCGACTTTCATAGGAATATCCTCGTTTCTTTGTTCCACATCTGCTCCACTTACATCACCATTGCCTTCATTAACTACAGGCTTATCTACTGTGTCGTAGCCGTCGTCTATAGTTTTAATTTCAACAGGACTCTCTTTTTCTTCTGTTGGTTTCTCTTCATCGTATTCTCCTACTGCCTTGCCCTCTTCTTCATGTGACACCGCCTCTTCCTCTCCTTCATGTCTCGCCACCTTGTCCTCTCCTTCGTTTCCTTCACGATGTGGTATATCACTCTCTGTTTCTTCTTTAAAATGCAAACTCATTTCAGGATAAAACATATTATATAAATGTTCATCACCAGTAGCCGTGTGAATCATGCTTTCGGGGATTTGAAGTTCTGGTCTTCGTTGTAATATAAATGACGTCTCGTAAACTCTCACCAATTCTACAATTAGTTCTTGATGTCTTAGATAAATTTTATCTCCATCTTCCAATTGTATGTAGAAATTGTAATTCTGAAGCGCTATTGCAATCATTAGTGCATTTCTGAAATGTGACAAATCTGATTCCACCGTTACCCATTCGACAGGTATTTTAGCAGTGACCAGGAAGCAAGCATATGGTTCACCACTCTGTAAACAAGACAAAAAAAAATATATTATAATTTTTTTTTATTTATTTATTTTGATATATTACTAATATATTCATTTATTTATTGTTATTCAAAATTTAAATTAATATTACTTAATTTATCTTAATATTTTTAAATTTATTTCAATTAAAATTTGTTTGTAAACAATAATTATTTGTTTATATATATTAACAACAATTATTTTTAGTCCTTTTAATTTATTAATATATTTATATTTATTAAAAGTTTGAAATAATAATTATTAGTTAATTATTCACTTATTTTAAATTTATTATTTTTATTAATTGAATTATTTTTAAGAGAATTGTAAAAATCAAATAACAATAGAAGAGTGGGAAGAGTTTCATGCCTCTGTATATCCGAATCGAGTAAACTTGGATTTGGGTTTTTTCAATAGAAGCGTACCTGAGCTGGATGGAGAAATCTCGCTCGCGGAGGTTGTGTTCGCGCTTAATAAATGTAAAATCGGTAAAGCCCCAGGTATGGACGGCATTAATGCTGAATTTTATAAGAACTTACCACCAACCTGGATCTTTTTAGTACACTCATTTTTCAATAAAATTATAGAAGAGGAGCGAGCTCCTGAGGCTTGGTCACGGGCAATTATCACATTAATATATAAAAAAGGTGAAAAAACAAATCCTAATAACTATAGAGGTATTGCCTTATGTAACATCAACATTGCTAAAATTTTGACACAAATTTTAGTTACCAGACTATCAGGATGGGCCGAAGGAAACTCGCTTCTACCAGAATCTCAAAATGGTTTTAGATCCAGCAGAAATTGTGTAGATAATATATATACCTTACAATCTGCACTGCAGTTTCGTTTAAGATTGAAAAAATCATCTGCATGTGCTTTATTTATAGACTTCCGATGAGCTTTTGACTCTGTGTCACATTCATTACTTTGGCAAAAGTTATATGATATGGAGATGAGTGGTAAAATGATTAAAATCATTAAGTTAATCTATGACCGAGCATCTTTTATGGTTAGGATTGGGAATGAATTTTCAAACCCAATTGAGGTAACGGAGGGTGTACTCCAAGGAAAACCACTCAGTCCCATGTTATTTACGCTGTTTCTTGCGGATTTCGAAAAAAGCTCAGAGACGCTGGAAATGAGGGCATAAATATTAACGGTTGTGCAAGTCTGCTCTTGTCTTTGTATGCTGATGATGCAGTTGTTGTGGCGAACTCTCCAACGAGAATGCGAAAATTAATAAGAGCAATTGAGAAATACTGTAATTCAAATAACTTGTAAATACCTTAAAAACTGAAATTGTACACTTCAGAAGGGCGGGAAAAGCAACAAAGGAGAAATTTGTTATGAACGGAGAACAACTTAACATTGTTGGTTCTTATAATTATTTAGGCGTTGTTCTCTCTAGTTCTACACTTAACATAAAGGCAACCGAAAACGCAATTACTAGGTCAAATCAGGCCTTCGGTGTAGTTAAGCAGATTGTATATAATGGTAAAATAAATTATTGGTCTTCTCAAAGTAAGTTATATCATAGTATTGATGCGGCGACTCTTATGTATTGTATACATGTATGGGGGTTGAGACATTTGTCAGCTCCTGTCTTTGCCAAAGTATACTTTTAACGCGGCTTTGCGATTGGAACTGGGCATTGTGAGTTTCGAGTTTAAGATTTTCAAAGCGGCTTATTTATGTCATTAAAATATTATCTATGGATGGGACTCGATTGCCTCGGTTATGTTTTATGCGACAGGTTAAATTAATGCAACGTATTGAAGTAGCACCCGAGTATAATTGGGTTGCCCAACTAAACGTATTTTTGGAAAAAATTAATATAACAGACTTATGGAGCTCTCTTAATTTACAAACGTGGACCGAAAAAATGAGTCTTGCTTTAAAACGGTATGAAAGATACCTTAAGTTTTCAGATATTGTCCGGTACGAACAATCCAATTCGAAGTTGCATAATATAATGAGAACTTTAGAAGATAAAACAGCTTTATATTTGTATAGAAAAAGAAAAACATACTTGACTAAAATTTTCGTTCAATTGCGCTTCGCTTCAAAATATTATGTAAGATTTTTGTACAAAGGAAATTTATATAGTTGGGATCAGTGTGCAGTTTGTAGTTTGTGTAACCGGGAAGAAAGTGAAACATTGTACCATTTTCTTTTCACGTGTCCAATCTACGAAGGCTACAGAAATTTTTATCTAAAACAATTTGATTTAAATAATGTTCAAAATTGTGATGCTTTGACCCGGCTCTGTAATGCGCCTGACGAAAGAGCTATAAAGAATGTGTGCCTTTACATTGTAAACAGCCTTTTAATGCGATCGTTTATCCTGAATGAATGAAAAAAAAACAAAAAAAACAGAAAAAAAAAATTTTACGGAACTTCCTGCTACAAAATGTAAATTTTATAAAGCAGAATAAATAAATAAAAAAATATTTTAAACTATTTATTTATTCTTCATAGTAAAGTAATTAGCAAAAATTATCCTTTAATAATAGTTATTTATGATACAAGTGCGTAAAATCGTTGATTATACGAGTGTGACGTTTGCAGCTCGAGCCGAAGGCGAGTGCTGCAAGTCACACAAGTATAATCTGATTTACGCACGAGTGTCATACAAAATTTTTTGCAACACTAAAACAACTAAACTTGCAGCAATATTGCCAATATTACTGAAAGTTTAGGTGTAGTGGGGGAACTGTTAAATGAAGTTTTCTAGAAGCTAAAATAAAAATGTGATTGTAAATTGTTGTTTAAAAGCTTTAATTCATGGTTTCTCATCAAACAGTCACAAGAATGCGTAAAGTAATCATTTTACGCACTGAAAATCACTTTACACACTGGAATTCACTTTACACACTGCTAGCGGTGTGTAAAGTAACACTTTACACACCGCTATAAAATGAAGTACTTTACACACAGTTTTCTGTGTGTAAAATTCAATTTTACAGGTTAGTGTTGCAAAAAAAATTTACTTACTGTGGCATTTGTGCCTCGTCGCTCGAATTTGAACCCTAATGATGATTCACTTAATTCAGCTGTTACACCTTTGTAAGTCATAGTAGTTTTTCCTTCAGAATGGAGAGTATTTCTCTTCAAATCTCGTGCTCTTACAGCTATTGCCATCATGCAAACTTTTCTAAAATTGTGTGCTGAAGACGATCTACAGAACCATTCTGCTGGAGCTTTTACAGAAATAATATAAGTAGCCTCTTAAACATCTTCCGTACTGTAAAAAAAGTTAAAATTAAAAAATAATATTTAAATATTAAAATCATTAAAAAATCGAAATTATTAAAGCAAAAAATTATTTAATTAAAAAAAATTATTAAATTATTAAAATAAATAAAAAAAAAAATTTTAAACAAATTAAAAATAATTAACAAATTTTTTAAAAATTGTTAATTAATTATTTAAAAATTGTTAAATAATTATTTTAAAAAATTAATTAGTTGTTAAAAAAAATTATTAAATAAATATTTAAAATAAAAGATAATTAACTAATTAATTCTATAAAAATTTGTTAATTATTAAAAAAAAACATTATAAAATTATTAGGAATAAAAAATTTTTTTTTAACAAATTAAAGTTCTTAAAAAATTGTTAATTAATTTTTTAAAAATGTTAATTAATTCTTCAAAAACTTGTTAGTTATTAAAAAAAAATCATTATAAAAAATTATTAAAAATAAATCAAAATTTTTAAAACAAATTAAAAATAAAAATTGTTAATTAATTATTATTTAAAAAATGGTTAAATAATTATTTTGAAAAATTAATTAGTTGTTAAAAAAAATTATTAATTAAGTATTTTTAAAAAATGTTAATTAACTAATTAATTCTTTAAAAATTTGTTAATTATTAAAAAAATCATTATAAAATTATTGGGAATAAAACAAATTTTTTTTAAAATGTTAATTAATTAATTTTTCAAAAACTTGTCAGTTAATAACAAAATCATTATAAAATTATTAAGAATAAATCAAAAATTTTTTAAAACAAATTAAAGATATTAAAAAAATTCTTAATTAATTAAAAAAAAATTGTTCATTAATTAATTAATTATTAAAAAAAAATTGTAATTAATTACCTATAAAAAACTATTAATTGATTATTTTAAAACTTGTTATTTAATTACACAGTGCAACATTTTTGAGGTCATCGAATGTGCACTAAGTTTTGACTTCAGTTTCTGAAAGTACTTATTAAAACTAGCAAAAGCCTATTTCAGTTTTGCTAGATTAGCTCGGATTTGAGTTTTATCAACATTTGAATTTTTTTTTAAAATTTCACATTTTTCAGTTTTCTGATACGGGCGAATGGGAACACTGGCTATTAAAGTTTATTAAAAAAATTCGCAATGGTCACAATTTGAAAAGCAATAATCCCTCTTTAATTACAGAGAAAGAAAAAAATGAGTAATTTGGTCGAAAATTGTTCCAGTTACGAATTTTTTTTTGGTTTCTTACATTTTTTGGTTTTATGAAAAGGGCGGGTAAGAAAGCTGGCTATTAAAAGATTATTAAAAAAAATTTCGCAGTGGTCACCATTTAAAGAGCAATAATTCCTCTTTAATTTCTGACATTGAAAAAAAAATTTGGTCGAAAATTATTTGAGTTATGAATTTTTTTTGTAATTTTTCAAATTTTTCGGTTTTTTTAATACGAGAGGGTTGGAACGCTATCTATTAAAAGTTTATTACACAAGATTCCCAATTGTCATAATTTGAAAAGCAATAATCGCTCTTTAAATTCGAATAAAGAAAAAAAAATTTGGTCAAAAATTGTTCGAGTTACGAATTTTCTTTTGACTTTTTCACATTTTTCGGTTTTTTGATAAAGCGGGTGGAAACGCTGGCTATTAGAAGTTTATAAAAAAAATTCGCAATTGTCACCATTTGAAGAGCAGTAATTCCAACCTAATTTCTGACATTGAAAAAAAAATTTGGTCGAAAATTGTTCGAGTTATGAATTTTTTTCGTACTTTTGCAAATTTTTTTTGTTTTTGATCCGGGCGGGTGAGAACGCTGGTTATTAAATTTTTCTTTTTTAAAAACGCAATAGTCACATTTTGGAGAGCAATACTTCCTCTTTAATTTCTGACAAAGAAAACAAAATTTGGTCAAAAATTGTTCCACTTATTAATTTTTTTGACTTTTTCACATTTTTCAATTTTTTGATCAGGCGGGTGGGAACGCAGGCTATTAAAAATTTATAAAAAAAATTTCGAATGATCACAATTTGAAGAGCATAATTCCGTCTTTAATTTCTGATCAAGATAAAATATTTGATTCGAAATATTTGGTTTCGAAAAAAGTCAAAAAAAAAAAAAACAAAACCCTTGGTTGCACAGGACCGCGGGTATACAAATGTACAGAAATAAATAAATAACACGAATAATTTTCTACCAATTTTTTTTCTTTTATCAGAAATTAAAGAAGGATTATTGCATTTTAAAATTTGACCGTTGTGAATTTTTATAATTCATTTTTAATAGCCAGCGTTTCCACCCGCTTTATCAAAAAACCGAAAAATGTGAAAAAGTAAAAAAAAAATCATAACTCGAACAATTTTTGACCAAATTTTTTTTTCAAAGTCAGAAACTAAAGAGGAATTATTGCTCTTCAAATGATTACCACTGCGAATTTTTTTTATAATCTTTTAATAGCCAGCTTTCTCACCCACCCGTTTCATAAAACCAAAAAATGTAAACAAGCCAAAAAAATTCGTAACTGGAACAATTTTCGACCAAATTTTTTTTTTTCTCTCTAATTAAAGAGGGATTATTGCTTTTCAACACGGAGAGAAGAGTTATAGTGAGTTGTACTATTACGCATTTAGTAAGAAAATTTGAGTTGTCACAAATAAATATTAAGTAAAGGTTACAAAACAGCGTTCAATTTTTTTTGTCGATCAAACTAAACATAGAAGTAAGGATGAATGTCTGCTTAGTAAAGCAGACAAAACTAATTCTGTTTACATTTTTAATCATATTATTAATTGAACTTTAAAAAAATATTAAAATTAATTAAAAAGCTACCTATTAAAAATTAAACGAAATCGAGAAAAAATATTATTTTTCAAAACTTTATTTGCAGTGTTATACTTATTATTTATGTTTGTTATTACAACAAATATTAGGTTATTGTTATCATATTAATTATAAAAAAAAGTTTAGCTGTTTATTTAAATATGCGACAAATATATTTTGTAAAGAAATATAGCTCTTATAATTTTCTCTATTTAACTAAACAATTACAGAAATTATAATTTTTAAATTGATTTATTATTGTTACCTTATATCACCGTCAGTGTATTTTTGTAAAATATCACTTGATTTTCTTCTCGTTCCCCATATATAATAAATTTTTGAAAAAATAATTAATTAATAATAATTATTTCTAAATAATTAATTATTTATAAAGTGTTAACTATTATATTAATTATTATAAAAGAGGTTAAATTTTATTTTGGTAAATTGTAAACAGAATCGCAGATATGACAATTTATATCTTAGACGATACTAATGAAGTTAGTAGTCTTAATAACTAAACGGCCGTTTAGTGAAGTTTACTTTTTGTTTTGTTAAACGAAAAAGTCACCATATTGTTTAGTAACTATGACTCAGGGCTGAGTAAGATTGACTACTTTCTTCTCTCCGTGAAATTTTGACCATTGCGAATTTTTTTAATAAACTTTTTATAGCCAGTGTTCCCATCAGCCCGTATCAGAAAACTGAAAAATGTGAAAATTCAAAAAAAAATTCAAATGTCGATAAAATTTAAATCCGAGCTAATCTTGCAAAACTGAAATAGGTTTTTGCTAGTTTCGATAAGTACTTTCAGAAACTGAAGTCAAAACTTAGTGCACATTTTATTTGTTGCACTGTGTTATTAGAATTTGTTAATTAATTGATTAATTATTAAAAAATTGATAAAAAATTATTATTAATTATTTAAATATTTTTAGAAATTTTTAATTAATTCTTTAAAAACTTGTTAATTAATTAATTAATTATTAAAAAATAAATTTATAATTTAAAAACTTACTTATTTTAAACAACGCGCACTGTTTAAAAAATCCAAATTATGAAGAGCACTGTCTTTACGAAGGTGATGAATATAGTGTCACTTTATTAATGAAGCACCCCATTAATCAAGCTCCTTTTTATACACGCAGTATTGTTTAGAAAATATGAGACGAAGATAAAAGTATGAATTGAAAGAAGAAGGTAGAATCTGATGAAGTTCTCACTCTTACGGGATGAGATAGATGCTTCTATCTTTATGATGCAATGTTCTCTTTTTTTATTTAATTATAATTACAATTATATTTTTCTCATAGTTTTTAAAACCCCAAGGTAATGTATCAGTACAATTTGGTAAAAGCATTCTTTTATCATCATTCCAACTTATAACGTTTTTGGTTTGTTTTAAAGTATACACTTCATGTTTTTGACTTTTTATTAAATGTTGCGATTTTCTTAAATTTTTATAGTTGAAAAGTGCATTTTTATAGTCTCGAAATGTTATTTTTTTTAACGTTGAACCTTTAACACCTTTAGCTTTTTTCTTTTCTTTCTTTTCTCCTAATATTTTGTATGTATATAGATTAGAGCGCAAACCTATAAATTCAGTTACAATTTTTCCATTGCATTCGTCTTTCATTAATCCCAATATTTTTTTATTTGCTAATGGAATTCCATAAATATTATTTTGTGGATAATCAGAAGTATCAAAAAATTTTAAATCTCGTTTTATGTAGTCATAAAAATTTGGAACTTTTAAATGGTAAATTAAACTGTCTGTATCAGTGTATAGCAATTTAGATTTTTCACCAAATGTTTTTTTATGTAGTTGTAATGAAAATCATACGTATACAATTTTGATACATCTAAAATACTAAATCCAACATAAATTGGTTTATTGAAATTAACTTTTAGTCCATTAAGCTCAATAATTACCAAATTATTATCAAATATATTGCAACTATGGAAATTTGGTTTAGCAATAAGAGCTTTTGCTCCGTATCTACCATCCCATTTTGTTACAATTCTAATATCTTTATGTTTTCTTACATTCTCCATGGTTTTCCCAAAAACTGAATTGTTCATCAACTTGTAAAAGTTTTTTTCAAATACGTTAGAACTGTTTTTTCCTAATTCCGTATTTAAATCAATATATTTTTTTAACCATTGAGATTGCTTAAATTTTAATATTCGATGAATTTTTTTCAATTTCAATCCTAGTTTTAAATAATATTTTAAATTTTTATAATGAATAATATATTTTTCCTTTGGAAGTAAATTAGTTATTAATTTTGGTAATTTACTATCAGGATTTGGAGGAACGAAATGTTCTGGACATAGTGGCAAATCTTTATGCAATTCATGTAAATCTTTTGGATATTCTAGGTCTACTTCTAAAATATAACCACAGGGAGAATCATCTGGAATTTCAAAAATATCAAAATTCATTAAATTTGTTTTCCACTGAAAATCTGATATAGGTAAAAATTCGCTCATTCCTGCACCATATTAATTATTTATGTCAAAGTACATAATATATGATTCTTCAATATTTTTATCAAAATCTAAGTCCATGAATCTATTATTAGCTTTTGCATATCTGTTCGAACATTGGGAAACTCCACCTGTAATACCTTTTTCCAAAAAAGCACCATATCCACGTCGGTCAACAATTCTAATTCTACCTTTGTTAACTTGAGCATTGCATCAAATGCAAGCCCAGGTGCAGTAAAATAATGTAAAGGGTCTAAATTATAGGCTGATAAACAAATTTTTCGAAAATTTTCAAATATATCAGCCAAAAGTAAGACGTCCGTTTTTAAATACAAGTCGGAATAATCTCCTAATGTTCTTAATTAAAACGTGGTCCAAACTTTACAAGCGTGGAAGTAATCATCTTCTGAAATGTGTGAATCATTTAATTTTGAATAAAATTCATTTTTTTGTGGTAAGTGATTTTCTTCCAGTTTATTCCAATTATTATTGATATACTCATATGGAAAAACTCCTTTTCTAGTTAATAAATTAAATTTATCAATATCATCAGAATATTTCCCTGTTATTTTCCTTTCATCATTTTTAAGAAAGCATGCCAATTTATCCAAACTAGTGGGCATAAATTTAAAAGAATCTAGAAATCTTAAACTAACGTTTGTTCCTTCAACATATTTAGTAAAAGATATATATTTCTCTTTATTTATAGGCAATAGCTTAACAGAACCTTCAAAAGATGTACATAATTCTTTTATAAAAAAATGAGAATCATATCCTGAGAGATTGTGAAAAATTACTGGAATTACATGAGCATTTTTATAATTTATATTACACACCTGATGAGTAGCACCTCTGTACTTTCCTGTAAAATGATTGTGGTCTCTGCATTTAATGTCATCATTGTTAAATGTGTTTTCACAAATATAACATTTTTCGGCATTTTGAAACTCAAACTCTTGTTGATATGTTAAAGGTTCCATTGGAACAATTTTTTTAAAATAAAAGTCAACTAGATTTGAAATTTCCTTTAATTTATTTATAAACCACGATACACAATCTTTGCCTCTATAACTTTCAAATACTGAAATCGAATCATCAAACTTACATTTTAAATAAAATGCGACACTGTGTGCAACGGGTTTTTGATATGCACCAGAAACTATTGTATTACACAGCCACACAAAAAAAAAGTTCTGATCTGGAGGTCTCACTATGTAGACTTTACGTTTTTTGGGTCGCTGAATCCGAATCCGAGGTCCACTTAACCCCATCAGATCAGGATTTTGACATAACCTCAAAAAACCAATATGGCGGACACATTTTTGAAAAGTTCATCGGATTCGCTTGAAATTCGTTACTCGGGGGTTTTTGGGGTCGCTGATTACGAATTTGAAGTCTGATTTCAAAAATTCAAAATGGCGGATTCAATGTGGCGGACACGTTTTTGAAAAATTTATCGGATTCGCTTGAAATTCGTTACTCTGGGGTTTTTGGGGTCGCTGATTGCGAATCTGATGTCGGTTTTTGATGGGGTTAAATGGACCTCGGATTCGGATTCAGCGACCCAAAAAACATAAAGTCTACATAGTGAGACCCCCAGATCAGAACTTTTTTTTTGTGTGGCTGTGTTATTATTGTTAATAGATTCTAAAATACTTTTCGTATCAGCAGATATGACAAACGGAACATTTTCTTTGAACCTAAAATTTTTAAATTTTTAAATATTTTTATTTTCTTTTGGTAAAATAATTCTACATTTATTTAACGAGGTGCAATCAATTTTATGGTCTTCTAAAGATTTTTCATATTTAAAGTGACATAAGCATCTGTCACAAATCAAGGTTTAATTATGATCCTTCGAAAATTGAGATTTAACTAACCGAGACAAATTACGAATCCATGGAAAATGATAATTTGCACCATTTTCAAAATAATTATTGGCATTTTTAATCATCAATAAGTGAATAGTTTGTTTTTTAGAATATTGCTCACTTAGATATAAAGGAACTATTTCATTTTTATTATTTTCACTACTATCAAATCCATAAATGTTTATTGCTAAACTATTCATTTTTTAAAATTTAGTTATATCTGTTAAAGCAATAGGAAAATTAATTCCTTCATATTTTAAAACTGTTCTAAAATCAGGATAAGAGCTCGTAACAGTTGAATTATTTTTAACAGGATGTAATGCTGATACTATCGACCAAAGAAAGCAGAAATTATCTTTATTTTTAATATTTACAACAGTCTTTTTATCTCTTATAAATTTTGGCAATTCTATAAATGTACTAGAGCTTCCTTGTAATGGTGCGTACCTATTAATATTTACTATCAAATTTGTCCATAACGATTGTTACATTACGTCAAAAACTGTGTATTTTGTCATATATTTACACTGAGCAAACATACTTAATTCAAATAAAAAAATTATGTTAAGTGATTTTGTTTAATTGAAATTAGTTTGTAACCTTAATCCCAATATATAAAAAATATCTACTGCTTTGATTCAAAAATATTATTTGTTTGAATAATTATGTTTAATTTAAACATATTTTCCGTTTTGATTTAAGCAAAAATTATGTTTAAAAATTTTCTGTTTGATTTACACTTAAAAGTTGATTGCAAATAATTTAAAATCAACCATAACTTTTATTTGAATTAAATATATTATTTTTTTAAATGAACCAAAAAATATGTTTGAATTAAACTTAAATATGTTTGACTGTATAGCAAAGCTATTTTAAGTATATATATATATATATATATATATATATTATATATATATTATATTATTATATTATTATTATATATATATTATATATATATTATATTTTAGCTATTTTAAGCTATTTTAAGGTCGTGGGCTCGTATCCCACCATGCTACCGCTTTTTCTGGATTCTTTGATAATTTTGAAATTATTAATTAATTTCGAAAATATTTTTCAGATTAATCAGGTTTCTGTATTCAGGCAGCTGTGCTGTCGATACATATGAAATCTAAGAGCTTATAGAGATTTATTTAAGATATTTAATTTGTTTGTATAAATTTGATTCGGATTATTGATAGCTTCTTTCTTCTTAATATTTTAAGTTTGATTTAAACAAAATATGTTTGTTCTAAATAAATCGTTTTCTCAGTGTATTGTGATTTATTATGATGCATTCATATTAAGAAATTTTCTTAATATAATAATGTTTTAAACAGTATTTAAAATTTATAAAAATTAAAATAAATATAAAAAATACAGATAGGGGGTTGGCGCGCGAAGTATACATATATAGGTTGTGGTCAAAGTCTGGAGTGCGGGCAATCCGCGGAGTGCCCGGGCACTTCGCAGTGTGCCCAAGCTGTTTTAGGCAAAGTCCGAAATACTGATTTATTTCATTATGGCATTTGGAATTGCACATAACATTATTTTTTTACACTTGTAAGCCTTACTTATAAATTTTTTTGTGCAATTGCATTTGATAAATCCTTCTAGTCCAAATAGTGACTCCTCACCATTAATATGCGGAACTGAAACAATTTTTTGTGGGATTTATGTCAATTTTAAAAATCAAAATAATTTTATTTATAAATTGAATAGACAAAGAGATGATGTTATCCTTTATACTTGAAAAGCAATACACTGCAATTAAATAGATTCTAAATACAAATGAAGAAATACAAACAAGCCTATAATGTCATGATTTCATATTTTATATGAAAAAGATAATTAATAAATTTTAAATTCAATTTAGTGGAAGCTTTTAGAATTACATTTTTCAACATTTTAGTCAATCCTTCCCTATTAGGGAATGAAACACACGGCCCGATATGGCCCTGATCAGGAAATCCACATTTGATCGCCGCCCCGATCTGGCCCAGGTCGGGCAGTGTGTTTCATTTCCTAATATGGCCATAGTAGGGATATTTCTACACGGGAAAGTAAAGTGTGTCTATTTAGTAAATTAGACCGTAACAAGTGCGTTTACACGTGTTTTTCAATATAGGTGATATAAAATATTTTTGTCACTTAGAAATTTAAATCATTGAATACTTACCACCAATTACAATAAAATCATAATAATTTTCAGCAGGATTTGTAGGAATTATTCTTTCACACAGTTGAGAAACTTCCCTTTTTCCTCTTATAAATGTATCTAATAGCGTCATAAATAATACAAATTGCGACCCTGGACACCCTTGTGCCAAAGTTGGTCCTAAGAATGGGTCAGAACAATGTGGTATTGATGATAGTTGATAAGACATCCTAAAAAAGAATATTAATATTGTAATTAAAAAAATATAAACAAACTAAAAGAAGGAAATTTCATATTTATGCTCTTCACTGACACTTAATCACTTTCCCAGTGGGCACAGGGATGTCTAAAAGACGTCTCAGAAACATCCCTTTTTGTCCACGGACAATTCGGGGACAATGATGGTAATGTCTCTGAGTCATCAAAAAGACGTTTTATGTCTGGTCCAAAAGACGCCCAAGAGACGTCTAAAAGACATAAGAAAGGACGTCTAAACTACATCTTGAAGACGTCTTTTGGGCGTCTAAAAGAAATAAAAGGGACATCTAAAAGACGTCTTTTGGCCGTCCTTTTTACATTCCTTCAGATCTTAAATAGACATTGTTTTATAACGTTTTCTAAGTTGAAACACAGTAATATTGTATTAAATTTATTTTAAGTTTAATTTTATTTTTTCTAAAATGTGTAGAAATAATGAAAAAATTCCTACGAAGCTGGGATCGAACTCGGATACCTTGGGCATGAAGCACTGCGCCTTAAGCCCCTCAGCCGTTCAAGACAGATATAAACATCTACAAAGTTAACGATCTCACTTGTCAATGAAATAAATTTAACTTAGAAAAATTCCAATGAATTTTACATTTATGAATTTCTAAGTCCAAGTTAAACTTAGAAAATTATTATTTTTTTTTGAAAATTTTTCTATTTTCAAAAGTTAAATCAAAAGGACAGTAAGGAAGAGTAAGATTTTTAGACGAAGATAACACAGCCACACAAAAAAAATAAAAAGTTCTGATCTGGGGGTCTCACTATATAGACTTTATGTTTTTTGGGTCGCTGAATCCAAATCCGAGGTCCATTTAACCCCATCAGATCAGGATTTTGACATAACCTCAGAAAACCAATATGGTGGACATGTTTTTGAAAAGTTTATCGGATTCGCTTGAAATTCGTTACTCGGGGGTTTTTGGGGTCGTTGATTACGAATTTAAAGTCTGATTTCGAAAATTCAAAATGGCGGATCCAATATGGCGGACACGTTTTTGAAAAATTCATCGGATTCGCTTAAAACTCGTTACTCGGGGGTTTTTTGGGTCGATGATTACGAATTTTAAGTCAATATCAAAAATTCAAAATGGTGCATGCAATAAATATGTTCTTTTAAGGAATTAAGAACTTGAGTTATTCAATTTACAAGGAATTACTCTATATCTTACGTGTGCCTGCATCCAGGGCACCTCCACGAGGTGACAATGGGCAACGGAGTTTTCCGCTATCCGGCTAAGTCACTGGGTAATAGCTTCGATGCCGTCATGGCAGACACACGTAGAAAACGTGTTACTATGCAGGGACTCGGAACCCCAGTATCGGCGGTTGAGGGTTAGAAAGCAGGCTCTCAGGCGTCGTCATCCAACAACATAGCCTGATAGCGGACAAACTCCGTTGCCCACCGTTGGTGCCCTGGATGCAGACACACGTAAGATATAGCGTAATTCTGGGTGAATTGGATCACTCAAGTTCTTAATTCCTTTAAAGAACATATTTATTAGATGCACCATTTTTAATTTTTAAAATTGACTTTAAATTTGTAATCAGCGACCCAAAAAACACCCCCGAGTAACGAGTTTCAAGCGAATCCGATGAATTTTTTAAAAACGTGGCCGCAATATTGGATCCGCCCATTTGAATTTTTGAAATCAGACTTCAAATTCGTAATTAGCGACCCCAAAAACCCCCAAGTAACGAGTTTTAAGCGAATCCGATAAACTTTTCAAAAACATGTCCGCCATATTGGATCCGACATTTTGAATTTTTGAAATCTGACTTTAAATTCGTAATCAGCGACCCCAAAAACCACGAGTAACGAGTTTTAAGCTAATCTGATAAATTTTTCAAAAACGTGTCCGCCATATTGGATCCGCCATTTTGAATTTTTGAAATCAGACTTTAAATTCGTAATCAACGACCCCAAAAATTTTTAACAGGTAAGTCAACTACGCGGAAAATAAAAATATAACTTCTTGTCTTTTTCAAGTAAGTCGCGGTGGGACTTAAAGTAAGATCGATGAGACCTCGGGAACAAGATCGCGGTAAATATTAAGCAGAGTATGGCAAGGATCGCGTGCATTTAGAGTTCGCGGGCAATGTTTGTAGGAGTCAGCTGCCGTCGGTATGATGCATACTGTTGGTACCTATATTGTTGAATTTTACTGACGTATGGTTTTAGTATAAATGCCCACTTTTCGCGGATTTTTACGCTTAAAAGAACAAAGAACACTCGCGCACTAATTAAAGGATTCGTTTGCGGTTAGCTGATATCTTTTCTCGACAACAGTCCTATCACAGGGAATTGACTCCATAGCTGTCAAGGAGATCCTCATGTTTTTTTTCTAGGATGTATGCTCTTTTCAAACTATTTTAAACGCTTTGGTTTTTTACCCGTCATTAATTCGGTTGGTGTCGAGTCAGGGTGCTGTCCCATGCTGAGCAGAAAACAGAATGCAAAGCAGAATTTCGTGAGTGCAAGAGAGATAGTCAGATATCACTATCCTTTCCACTCTCACGAAATTCTGCTTTGCATTGTGTTTTCTGCTCAACATGGGACCGTACCCTCAGTCGTCTTGTGATATACCTTATTTATCAACGTTTCAACGATTGATAATCGCGATAACTAACCACTGTGAGCATTCTCGTTTAATTGGATCCGCGAGAAATTCGAGATTTCCCGGTTTACTCTCTCTACTATATTAAACTGGAAGTGTCGGATTGAATTTAAGATGTGGGAGATGTTTTCTTTAGCCAGTTTCTCTCTCCACACGCTGGAGGTGAACTGCGTTTCGTGGTCAGTTACTACTTTTGAGGACTTCCCGTAGGTTGGTATGTAATCCGAAAGTAGTCTCTTGATACACGCAGCCGTTGTCTGTTTTCGCATTCCATAGAGCCTTACTAACTTTGTAAACCCATCTAAGATCGCCAACACCTTCTACATTTCTCCGCACTTGCGGTATACCAATCCGTTTTCTCGTTAATTCTCTCACCGTGATTCTCATTTGTTAGTAGGTCGTTTATTCAGGTATTCTTTTCTTGCTCCGCGTGCAGGTTCCTAAGTTTTTTCATCAACTTACTAGAAGGTGAGTAAGCCAGGGAACATATTATTGTAATGTGTTTATCTTTAGCGATCCCTTCCGGTATGGTCGTAGAAGCATATCTACTCAGGGCGTCCGCTACAACGTTATCCTTCCCTGGACAATACAATATTTTCGCCCCTCGAAAAGTACGGCTAGCACAGGTAATAATCATCAATACCCTTATACACTGGAAACTCCGAAGAGCGGTATTCCGAAGAGCGAAATAAAAATGGCGCGACGCGGTAAACAGTTAGAGGGGGAGACATGGGCGGGTTTAGAAACTGAAATCTACAAGCAGGAGCGTCTATTTAAAGTGTTCCGTGAGTTCACGTGGAGTGTGCATTAAGTTTTTAGAAAAAAGACAGAAAAAAAAAACTTTCTTGATATCGAAGAAAAAAGTAAAATAATTAAAAAAGTAAAAGCCGGTGCTGACAAAGACACAATTTTAATGGAACATAAAATTAGTAAAACTGCATTTTATAAAATTATCAATTATGAGGTTAAAATTTTTAACAAAGTGGGTAAACCTGAAAATAAACAACGAAAGGTTTTTAGAAAATTAGGTAACGAAACTTTAGATTTATCCGTAATTGAATGGTTTCAACAAGTGAGGGATAAAGGAGATCCAATCTCTGGTTCATTAATTCAAGAAAAAGCGCTTATATTAAATGAAAAATTGAATATATCTTCAAATTTTAAAGTAAGTATAAATCACATTTTCTAGAAAAATTAAATTTAGCCTGTCAAATCTAATACGTATGTTTGAAACATACAGATTAATTTATATAAAAATTATGTTTGGTGTTCATGTTTTGAGGTTAGGTTGCGAAATATTTTACATAAATATATACAGTGTTTAAAACTTTTTAAATAAATGCTGTAAATCTTAAATATAACTTTTAACAAACAATTGTAGAAATAATAAGTAAATATTAATTATATTTTATTTAAGGTTATGTACATTAGAAGTATATTGTTTTTTTTGTTTCTTTCAAATCATTAGTTTAAAAAGACCAGTTACGTGACTTACTACTATTATTTTTTAAAATGATTTTAATTATTAAATATATATTTATTATTATTATTAATTATTTTTATTGAAAGACACTGAAATCTAAAAGTAACTGTTACATATTTGTGACTGTCCACGAGAAAACACGGCTTAGGTCCAAAAAAATCAATTTTGAGTTTTTTATGGTAATCGACAGATTTTGTGTTGCTTTTTCAAATGCAAAAGTTAAAAGTTAAAAATATCAATTACTTTCGACAATATATTGTTTTAAAGATGGGTATGTCAAGCGTAGTTAACTTCAATTGTAGTAATTCAATCGCTCGCCCTGTGAAATTCTCGTTCGGGAGCTAAGCCGTGTTTTCTCGTGGACAGTCACATTTGTTATAGGCAAGCAATGGTTGGTTGCAAAAATTTAAAAAAAGATACAATATTCGATCTTTTGAAATGAAAGACGAGAAGTTATCAAATGATTTAGAAAGTGCTAATGAATTTTCTATCATTCTAAAAAATAAAATTGCTTCTGAAAATCTGTTGCTGGATAACGTTTACAACGCCGATGAGACGGAAATTTATTGGAGGACAATTGTATCTTGTACTCTCTCCCAAAAAGGTGAAAATGAAGTTTCGAGAAGGAAAGAAAGAAAGGACCGTATAACAGCTTTATTTTGTTCGAATGCAAAAGGAAATAATAGAATCCCACTCTTAATTATTGGAAAATCGAATGTTCCATCATGTTTAAGAAATGTCATATCGAAGGAAGAAAAGAAGGAATTGTTTAAGGGGATCCTACTTATCGACATGTAGATGAAATTATTGAAAAACTTGCGACCGTCTTTTCTTGAAGAAAATGTAATATAATGCTTTGTTAATT